TCATATTGCTTTTACCTGTGTTCATATTGCTTTTACCTGTGTTCAAATTACTTTTACCTGTGTTCTTAAAAGCAATCTTTCAAGTAGTCTCAAGAATACTCATAGCTTAAGTATCTTCAAACATGACTTGCCCATTCAGCTTATAGAAAATATGAAAAAACTTGAAATTTTTAAATTTTTTACTGTAGTTAAGTATCAATGGCTTATTTATCATGATTCACCACATTAAATATTAATCTTTCGGCCCCGAAACCTTGACTCGGAAATACCGGGAAGGTGTCCATGGTTGGGGTGAGGGGTGGATAATTTTACCTTTAGATAATTAGAAGATTAGAATACTTCTAGTTCAACATTTCACTTGTACTAGCAATCTTTATTCAGGCTCAGAAATAATGGGATGGTGTCCGGCGGGGATAGTTTTACCTCTAGAATTTTCTTGATTATGCCTTGATTAGTTTTTTTTTTTTTAAGATTTTTTTTCCTTTTATTTAAAAGGGTTACAGGTTAAAAGCCCTGCTTCAAAAGTAATTCCTTGGATCTCATTTTTTTTTTAGGCGTATTCTAAAATTTCTATTGTAATTATACACGTGAATGTAAATTTGTTAGTGAATTTGTGAAAATTGCAGCAATATTTACAATAAATTTACAGAATATATGTTGTATAATAAAAATTTTGCATAATAAAATTAAGATAAATTTTGTGTAATAAATAATGTAACTTGAGATCATAACTAAAATTGTTCCTTCTTTCCATTATGTATTAGGCTGGATGGGTTCGTTTGTCTGTCAACCCTGTGGACCCCAATGGTCCACCAAAAGTCACTCCTGTATCTCGTGCTGAATTTATGTTGGTGTTGCAGAACATCCGAAGCTTCCAGCTCCAAGCATCGTACGACCGTAATACTAAAGATTTTATGTAAGTTCATACTATTTTTTAATTAAAAGTGTTCATGTTCAAAGAATATAAAAAATTTTGAATTAATTTAACAATTACAAATTGTTTTTATAGACTGTACGCTGTTTCCATGGGAATGGCCATTAATTCTAATACCGGTCAAGGGCGTGCATACCTAGTGGAGGATTGCCAGTGTCCCCGTGGTTACATGGGATTGTCTTGCGAGGTATGTCATATGTCATCATGTTTGTCATTTCATCGTGTTTTCATATATTCATATCTGTCATATGATTTTTGTTCTGGCACATTTATTCAATGACATTGGTCTATATATATTACACAAAAATATGTTATGCTTGTTAGAATATACAATCATACAAAATAGTAAAATTGAATTGTTTGTTTGATTTTTATAGCGGTGCGGTCCAGGTTATTACCGAGATGCATCAGGTAATCAATACCTAGGATTGTGCACTGAGTGCAGAAACAGATGTAACGGTAATTCAAACGATTGTCATCCAGAAACTGGTGCTTGTAGAGTAAGTGGTTCATTTTCGTCACAATTTTTTACATAAATCACTAACACTTGTCGGCCATTTTTTAATAAATTGTGTACAGATCTTTTGTAAAGAATTCTTTTTTTTGTATCTTAATTATTTTTCAATGAATGGTGCAGATTGACTTATGTATAGGCATTTTA